CCACTGCTGATTTGTTTGTTTTTTTTGTTTATAACTGAACTTTAACTGTATATCTGTCTTATTGGAAAATAAGACAGATATACAGCAGATTTAATCCTAGTTGTCAGCCTTGGCTCTTGTGATGTCCCTGAACACTTAACATTCATTAAAACACAAAAATAATCATCACAGTGCTGTCAGGACTGTCTGTAATCCCTCAGAGTACAACAGCACAGTCTATCTCTGACTGCAGCACCATGCAGTAAAGCAGTGTCTCACACCATGTGAATCCAGATGAGAGCACAGCTCAGCAAGCCTAAAGCTAATGCACACAAGATTCCTTTTAAAAGCTTTCGACTATTTTTAACCTCAAACCTCTACATGCACTGATGAACAAAGCATCTTTTTACAATGGGTTCTGTTAAATTCGGGGACAGCACAGTGCGGCCCATAAACCACACACAGTGGGCGGTTGGAGCATACGTACATTCAACAGGTTTGATCAGCATAATGATTCATCAGGAAGCCGTTTAATGGGGTGCTGAGCAGACTTACCCAGGAGGGAAAATACGCTTCTGGCTGGAAATAGGCACCAAAGTGTTTGTTCCGTTTGAAGTTTCCCAGGTCAGCCTGCAGCGCAAATGCAGCCATAAGGAAATAAGCCTCTTCTCTCTGGATGCACTGAGACTGCAGTACCTGCTTCCGCAAGTGCCAATAGTAATAATACCGTGCCACACGATCACTAAAAGACAGACATAGAACATATCCAGTCATTTTTCCAAAATGATTGAAAAATACGGTAAAAACAGTAACACTGCAAAATATTATTACAATAAAAAAACTGTTTTCAACTGTATCATTTTATTGTGATGGCAAAGCAGAAATTTCAGCAGTCATTACTTCAGTCACATGATCTTTCAGAAATCATTCTAAGGTGGTCATTTGGTGCTCAAGGCACATTTTTATTATTCTCAATGTAGAAAACTTAATATTTTTGTGGAAACAATGATACTGAATTATTTGATGAATAGAAAGAATATATTTGGAAATAGATTTTTTGTAATAATGTAAAAGTGTATGTCACTTTTGATCAATTAAATGCATTTAATCTTACTGACCCAAAACTTTTGAATGGTAGTGTAGATATGCGTGTGTCTCACCTGATAAGTCTGCCATTTTCAACATAATACTGTGCTCTGAAGTGAACAATCATTGGAGGTCCAAACTGGTCAATTCCCTACAGTTGGCAAAAATTCAGTCAAAATGTGCAACAAAAAGTTTTTTTTCCAAGAAAAATTAAACTCTGTGTGCACGATACCTTGCTGGCTTCCCGTTTCCACTCTTTTGGACAATATTTGGACAGTTTCTGTCCCAGTTCCATGTATATGTGTTCATTGTCTAGGAGAAAAAGCACAATTATAACACTTAAACAAACACGGATTTAGATCTTTAATGTTTGTGAACATATATGTAATTGATAAGGGGGAAAAAGTCAGGCAATTACAGCAAATAAAACCACGATGGTGGACAAGACCAGAAAAAAAAACAATAATAACCAGCAGACTGTATATTATCTCAATAACTGCATGGATATTTAATGGTTCAGTTAAGAAATGGACGTTCAACTTTTGATATTTGAGTTGAAATTATTTAATCATGAGACTAAAGACATCAAAGAGTGATACACAAGACTCAAAACCCTGGATACCTGGAATAATCAATACAGTGTAGCATCCTTAATATTAAAATGTGTACACAGAACTGACAAATCAGAATCAAGCACAGAGAGCCATGTGTAGTATGTAATGTTGTTTTTTTAAAGGGTCATGAAACCCCAGACTTTCTGAGATTTTAGCAGAGGTGTTTGTGTTGCACATCATAGA